TGGTCAGCAACGTTATAAACGTTTGATAGCCTGGCCAATCCAGGTAATGCAGGTAATATGAATGCCGTGGTTTCGAACTCAATGTAGGAGTACGCTTAGGCGTAGGCTTACGCTTAGCTCACTGATCAGGCTAACGCTTGGGTTTCGGCTTCCGCGCTTGCCTGCCTTAGTGCGTGCAGTGTGGCCCGCTATTTGTAAAAGTAGCGATCAAGGAATATCACTTCATTTGCCACTGAAAAGTTGTTACCTGAAGGAAAAGTATATTGTAACTGTTGTTGATTCATTTCAGTCAGTATTTGATTCGATCTCGTTTGCTGCGTGAGAACGGTCGTTTCCTACCGAAGGCGTCGTTTTATATGCGCAAAAACTTTTTGGGTGCCGATGAAAGTGGTTTCTTTACAAAGGTTATTTATCGGTGTTAATTGATCAGTTTAATTTTTGAGCATTCACTATCAGTTATTCCGATTATAAACAGTTTGACCGTTGATGTTTCGTCCGAATGAGCAAAAAATGTACAGTGGAAATCGCCTATGAAATGAATGGTTTGGATCGCATCGCAGTTGAGATGCTTCATGGGAATTTTAAAGGAGCGATTTTAAGTTTAACAAAACACTGATCATAAATGCTGCACTTGGAAATATTTCGCATTTTTGATGATATATAATTTCAATTTATGAAAAATAGGAAGTGTAGGAAATAAATGAAATTGTCGGTGATTTGTCGAATATGGCAAAGTTTTTTGAAGAAGACTTTTTTTTTGGTTTTGAATCAGAAATAAACTGCTGATTAAAGGCAATGGAGAGGCCATCACAAATGCAAAATCCGATGGCTGACCCAACGATGATGACCGATATGTTGAAGGTATGTTGCGATTTACACTTTTTGTGAAAATTTCATTTTTTTTAGAAATATTCCATTGATTCGTTGAGATTTGTTTTGATTTTGTTGAGATTGTATGGTGCGAATTCATTTCGTTCTTGTTTCATTTGTGTGTGCAAATCAAACTTGTATTCCTTAGAGTCAACATTCTTCAGTGCATCTTCAGTTTATTTCACTTTTTTTTCAATGTTAGTTGAATTCTGCATGAATAGAATGAAGGGTAATGATTTGTCGACAGTTTCGGAATGTGTTGGAAAATTTTTATGTGTTAATAGCTGAGCGGTGAAGTAATTTTTTGACTTTTTTGTTCTCTGAATTGATACGTTGAGTTATTTTTTGTCGTGGAACGATCAATAAGTAGTGTTCAGTTGGTTTGGAAATTGAAATTGAGTGAGAAATTGGTGAGTGTTTGTTTGAAGGGTAATCTTTTGAACGTGTTACCGATGATTGTAATCGGTGGATGGATCAATTGGACATTCAGTGGTTTTGTTACAACTCGAGTGCCGTTTCCGCTCACTTTGAGATTTAAACCGATGTTGCAGAGGGGTTCGTTTCATTCGTTTACTTCAATCTTTTGTTGATTAGCAATGTTTTTTAGTTTCATTTAATATACTGAAATGGTTTAGTTGCATTATTGGTGAGTAGTATACGTGATGTGTTTATCATTTTGATATTGAACAGCTCGATTCATTATTGAGATGATTTAAGCAGCTCGATTCATTATTGTGTTCTTCAGTGATGAGATTCATTTTGTGTTTTCGAACG